TGCGAATCAAACTCCACATCACAAAATTTAACCTTTAAATTCCGTTACATCATTTTACCTCTAATTTATTATAACCTTACCCTTTCCTACCTCAATTATCCACTATCTCGAGCTGTTTCTAGACAAATGGATCTAGAATCTAACCACCCAAAATCATAGAACCGACTATACTGATTACCTTAAACTACTTTAAACTCTCCTTCACTAACTCATAGACATATGGCATAGAAATATGGATTTCAACCAAACCTTTCAATCTCGGCAGAATCCAGACCCCATTCTGCCTGTGCCTACAAGATCTGGTAATAATTTTTCTGGAAGTTTTTTATTTCATTTAGATAATTAAAGAATAAATCTTGTACAGCTGCAAGCCTTTAGAGCTGCGTGGCTGTTTGATAGTATTTTTACAGTCGAACCTTTGAGATGTTTGTTTATTTGATGTGTACATTTCTATGGTTAGTAATCCAGTTTGAAAGTTGGCTATGGTTTATCCCAGGGTCAATTGGGCATTATGCCTATTCCCGTTCCATTTACCATCTTTGTTATCCAAGCTACCCTACGGCTATATCAGGTGCTGTACACTCTAACCAAAGAGGCCCTGTGACCTGCTCTTAGAGAATGAGAGTGATAATAATTAATCTATGCTTTAGTAGTGTTTTCACTAAATTTAATGTTATGTAATTCCTCTGTCATCTACGTAACTTATTGTCGTGGTGTTTCGATGCATTCTGTGCCTAGTCGAAACACAAGACAGTCATGTGTTTTTTTCCTTTAAAAGTCCTTTACTATTTTTGTTATTGCGACTTTGTTTTAAAAAGCTCAAAAACATTCAAATTTGAATGTAAATATTACAAATCAGAATTTTGCTTCTTGGCTAGTTTAACTTATTCATCTCGCGTTTGTGTTGAATCTTGTTAGCTTTAACAATTTTTCTAATTGTTTATTATTTCAATCATTTTCGGACAAATTTAACATGGTTTCGGGCGAGTTTAGCGCGTGGACCCAACGATCGTGGGTTCGATTCTCACCGTCACCCATGGAATTTCCCGACCTCGGAAAAACGATGCTGTTTATTATTTGTACTCTGGCTAATAAGTAAGTAATATGTAATATAAAGATATTTAAATAAATATAAAAAAATTACACTGTCCATTATCTTTGTCAGTTTTCTGCATCGGACTATTTCTGACGGAAATATATTTGCATATTTAACAGAGAATTAATGAGTTTGAGTGATTCTATGCTATTATCTTTTTGTTTTGCCCTGCGTTAAAATTACAAACAAACAGCTGAAACGTTTGATTTCCTATGACCTGACCTGCGACACAGTCGCGCATACCAATCGCTGTTGAACTATGGTTTGCTTAAATTATAATTTATTAAATGAAGGTATATTGTACAAAAGTGGAATTTATGGTTTTTATTGGAACCGGGTTTTATTTAAATTTCAAAAGCTTTTCCTTAGAATGAACTAGAATTGACATCTGCTGACATATGCTATATTTATAATTTTATCCCGGTAAAAATTGTAACAAGACAAGCGACTCACAACACGACAGACAAGAATGACACTGCTATACGGAAAACACGAACACTTTGAACCCTGAAGATGATCTCAATAAAGATCGAAACGTTGGCACGATAAAGAAAATGTTTTTTTCTAAAACCTACGTAACAACACCAGACCGCATCTCACGACCTCCAAATAATCATTGTAACAAGACTTGGCGCAACTTAATCGAAAAGACTTTGGGGCCAATCGTAAAGCCGGTTTATTTTGATACAGAGGCAAGGTCAATAACTCGGATGTGCAGTGGGTTAGTGAGGCGCATCTCTGAAAACCGGTTCTGAAGCCCGTTAATGAATCGTCTAATCTTAACTTTCGTTCTCGACTTGAGGATAGACCTGGGGCACTATTTTCCAATTGAGACCAATCGTAGGGAGGTGTTTTTGAATACGACGAACGATAATTTTTTATTACTCTATGGAAATTGAAAGTTATTTCATTTTAACTATTATTTTTTCAATGCTTTTCTATGATAACCAGAATTGACTTTCGCTATTCTTCCCTGGAAAATCTATATTAGTTTTTCTGAGTTTTTCCTTCTTCTTCACATGGTTTACGTATTTAATTTATTTTTAACCTCCAAAGTACTTTTTTAATAATCCTCGACAGACCGGGAGTGTATACCGGCGTAAAGTGTATCGAAATCCAACTAAAAGTACATACATTGAAAAAGTTAATCACCTACGTTAAACAACATCGGATGGTGCTCGCGCCAAAGTAATTTTTTTTTTTTTTTCAAAAAAACCCCTAATTCACGCTTCTGCATCCAGATAATCCTCTGATCATCTTTCTCTCTCATCGATTTCTTTTTATCGAGTTGAGTCAGATAAACCACAATAAACACATCCATAAAGACCACTGATAAAATTGCGCCTCCTAACAATTTGTTTTATTGTGTCCCATTGTTTATTTTTATTTTCCTAGAGTAAATTTTTTAATCCTTTAAAATCCTGCATACTTTATTAATATTATTACTTATTTACTTTGGCCGAAGTTTTTAACCACCGTCCGGTGGCCGTTAATTTAGGAAGTAGCGACCGTTTTTTAGACCAGAAATATATTTTTTTAAAATTAAACTAAACCTTTTCAGCACTAATTATAAATGGCCCAGTGAGACTATGAGCTTTAGAAGTGTTTTATTTATTTATTTATTTTTTTTTTATTATTATTTTCTTTTTTGTGAAAATTGTGAAAGTGTTTTGGTGTGCCTTGTGATGAACCCTTATGCTATTTGTAGACTGTCTTTTATGTATATTTTGTGTCAAAAACTACCGACTGACTCCCTACAGAAAATAGACGTAGTGTACACGTTTTTAAAACAATTGGAAAAATTCTAGCTCCATCGAAAATCTCTTCTCCTCAGAAGTTTTGAGGTATTTGTTCGTTTCAGTATAAATTTCTATTATTTGTATAAAGAAGAGTAAAATTTTGTTACAACTTTTGGTAGTTGTCAAAAATGAACGATTCACTAATTTTAATAAACCTTTAGCTGCTAATTCGAATATACTACATTTGGTTAAATAGAAAAAAGATTGGTTGTAATAGACCGACTAGATTTTGAGAAAATGTTACTGAAATTTTTTGGCCCTTTTTGAATAACTAAATGACGTTAGAAAAAATTTTAAATACTGTAAAATTTGTAGTTTGATGGTCAAATCGAAAATACAGATTCTCTTGAAAAATAAACGCGCATCAAAATGAAAATCCACCGAGTAGAAGTGTAGTTAAATTTATTTATTTTTTTCAAAATAGTAATATATATTTGTATCCTGTATATAATATCATACACATTACCAATTGTTTTAAACGGTATAAAATCCCGGGCAAAACACTAACACTACGGCCAGTACTAGCCCCAGAGGACATGTTGGCACTCAGTTTGTTATCGTGTTGAGACGAGGAGGGTTGTTCTTGGGATAGGAAGAAGTGGAGGGGTTGAAAGATTGGAATGAAACTTGAGGAATTGGGAGCGGATCAGTTCTTTGACAAAGAAAATCGGCTGATAATAAAGTTGGAAACATTGAAAGGAGTTTGAAGAATTCTTGTGAGGACTTTTGATTGGAATACTTGGATTCGTTGGATGTTACATGTCTTGGTGGTACCCCATAATTCCCGTATGTCCAAATAGGTTACAGAGTTAGTTGTTCTTTACTATCATGTGTGATTTCGGTCCTATAAATTGTCTTAGTTGTGCAAATCGTCTATTTAGTTCTTGAGCTTGATTCTGTGCGAGGTTTCCACGTCTACCGTCTAAATGTAGCCCTAAGTATTTTACTTGTGTAGAGGTCGGTAGTTTTTTCATGTTAACGTGGGCAAGTTTGTTTTTTGAACATTTGGGTGCATTTGTCCTCGTTCATTCCACGTTTTGCTCCCTTCATTCATCAATGAACTCAAGAAGCTCCTGGATATTGGAGGAGGCTTGTGTAGAATTGTAGTCAGGAGATAAAATTGCCGTATCGTCCGCTTATGTTAGAAGGATGATAATGGGATGTATCGCCAGCACAGCAGTATAAATTCTATATAGGATGGGCCCAAGAATGCTCCCTTGTGGGACGCCGGCCTGGATCGATCTGACTTCCGAAAATTTGTTGCCGCATCTCCCATTGAACTTTGTGGAACTTTTAATTTTCCTCAATGTTCTGATAACAAAAAGACAAAAATATGGGGGGGGGTATCAGGAAGGGGATTCAATCTACATCGAGAATGTTCTAAGGGGATGTTTTTACACCTCTCGATGAGAAAGTAGGTGCACTAAAATCAGTCTGCAGTCTACTTTTTAATTTTTTTTTTAAATCTTGCCTATTCGTTAATTAATTTTAAAGAGGGGTTTCGGGAGTTGTTTGCTGGTTGTTCTATCGGGTCTCTTAGTAATCTTAAGTCCTTTGTTTATTCCTTGAAGAAGTCCGAGGAAAGGAAAGCCCATGGGTAGGACGGCTTTGCGCAAAACGTTGGATTCGAATTGAACAGTTCCCAGACGATAATATGAGATTATGTCGAAATGATTTTAATTGTTGCCATGTATCCTTTGGGGACTTGGAAGTTTCGCAAATTCTTGGGAACCTGTATGAGAGAGGTATTGTTGTGATGCTAGGGGGGAACTTTGGTAACGTATCGAGCGTGTTCTGTGCTGATTACTGCGTCCCTATTCGACATATGATCCTATTTGAGCTGTTTTTACTTATGAACCGGAAATTTGTTAAATGGTTGGTTTCCTCGAGGAACTTGTAACATCTTGCGTGTTTTTTGTTTTTTTCATATAACCGGTCACTGTTTTGTTACCACCTTATTGACATTTATGCTCACGAGGAAAAAATAGGCATGAAACCGTCGGAGAAAATTTTTTCACGATCGAACATCTTCAGGAATTAAGGTGTTTAAAAACATAAAGGAAATCTTGTAAAATCAAAACCACTGGCACGTTTTGTCTTCTTACCTTCTGGATGAGCATATTGGACGGTTGTCATATATAATAAAAAAAAAAAAAAACCAAATCGAAACACAAAATCAACACTTCACTTATGTCACCATTTGTGGGGCCGATTTCTTGTTCACTGTCGGCCGTTCTCTTAGAGACTGACTTGACTCTCACAACCGCCTTGCCTCCCTTCCCACTTCCATTTCGCGCAAACCCCTCTCTGGCGTTTCCCTTGCATTACACTTTTTTTTACTTTTACTCTTTTCTTTTCAATTAGAGATAATGCTTTACCGCCACCCCCCTGCTTGTTATACGTTGTTTATTTGACTCGGACGACAGTGATTGGTGGGAAAATGGCCAACGATTCTGGTAAAACATAAGGCGCAGATATTGATGTACCATCTTTTCTGGAGGTTCAATTTTAACTTTGCTTCTCTGAGGATACACTGCCGAGTTAAGCGACGCAAAGAATCAAATAGGAAAAATCATCTCGACACTTTTTTCACCAATCTAAGAGCTAATGTTAACAATAAAATCAGTTTAAATTCATCGTTAATCCCAAGAGATGCAACAAATAAAGATTATTTACGATTAATACAAATAAAATTAAATTGCCATTTTGGATGAAAATTTTAAAGTCAAGTCAATTGTGGGGCTCCAATAAGTTTGGATGCGAGAGTTTAGGCTAATTATCATCTACAAGATGGAAAATTATATCAAAAATCGATTCCTTTTCCCAACACTTTTTCGCCCTGAAACTGAGTCAATTCTCATCCACCTCGTCAGCGTAGGGGTCTTTGAATTTCAGACTTCATTATTTTCAGGCAGTTGAAAGAATAATTCAACAAGACATTTTATTGGGCAGTTGCGCCAAAATTCAATTCTTTTTTCTAACTTTTCTTCTCTGAGACGAGGAAAAATTCAATCCTCCTCCACCTCTTCAGCGTAGGAGTCTTTGGAGTCCTCAGACTAGCAGTAGATTATATGTAGGACAGAGAATTTTCTCTGGATTTTGGCTAATTATCATGTGTAGGATATTTCGTACAATTATGCCCAAAGTCACTTCATTTTTCCAAGACTTTTTCGTCTCTGTGGCGAGGGAAAATGGAGTCTTCCTCTTCCGATTCGGAATCTTTGGATTCTTCAGACCATCATTATATTTTAGGCAGTAGAGAAAATTTTCTCAGGATTTCCGCTAAATATCAACCACAAGATATTTTGGACAGTTATCACAAAATTCAATCCCTTTCTCCAACACTTTTTCTCTCGGAAACGAGGAAAAATTTACACCTTCAGCGTCGGAGTCTTTGGAGATTTCAGATCATCATTACTTTGTAGGCAGTAGAGAGAATTTTTGCTGGGTTTTGATTAATACCATAAAAGAAACATACTTTGGACAATTGTGCCAAAATTCAATCCTCCTCCACCTCTTCAGCGTAGGAGTCTTTGGAGTCCTCAGACTCGCAGTAGATTATACGTAGGACAGAGAATTTTCTTTGGATTTTGGCTAATTATCATGTGTAGGATATTTTGGACAATTATGCCCAATGCCTCTGAGACGAGGGAAAATGGACCTGGAGGTGACACCTACCTCTTCAGCGTGGAATCTTTGAAGTCTTTGGTCTATCATTATGTTTCAGGCGGTAGAGAGGATTTTCGCTAATTATTATCCACAAGATATTTTGGATAATTAAGTCAAAATTTAATTCCTTTTTCCAACACTTTTTCGCTCTGAAACGAGGAAAAATTTATACCTCGCCACCTTTTCAACGCAGGATTCTTTCGAGCCCGCAGACCCGCATATGAGAGAGAATTTTCTCTGGGTTTTGGCTAATTATCATCCACGGGATATTTTGATCAATTATGTCAAAAGTCTATTTAAAACTTCAGGTACAAGACAAGTAAAAGCCTGCAACACTTACTTTTAGGACTTACTATTCACAACAAAAAATATTTTACACAGCTCTTATACAGACTCGTATTGGCGATTTCTATATTGCCTCGCCATTCCTCCTTGCGACGCCTTGTAGGATTTAAGGATGGCATCTGTTGGACAAGGCTTGCGCCAAGACTGTTGAGGTGATGGAGTGTTTACTAGGGAACTTAAATTTTTAAGAAATTGAATTTTGCTTAAGACACTTGCTTTCATTTATCGTCAGTCTACTGATAGGTAGTACTGCTCTCATCAGAAAAGGATGCAAGGCGAGTAGAGGTGTCGTCGTAATATCTGCGGCATAGAGGTTTGGTCCAGGCACGTTGCCTTAACGTACTTCCGTGGCCCGAGCACACGCACTTTCATACTACAAATTTTTGTATTGTTTAATACGTCAGCACTAATAAATAAATCTATCAATATGAGATATTCCATGTTATAATTAAATCCTTAAGGTAAACGTTTTTACTGGAAGCTTCCCAGGAACCATTTAAATGAAGATAGTTTTGAAATTTCTGGCGTGCTATAGAGAAAAATGCATTCTAAATGGGTATTATTTACCTAAATATTTTTTTATATTGTAGAAGTTGAATTCATAACATTCGACTAATTCTTTAACTTCTTTGACTTTCCTGAATCAACAGTTCAATGAACAAATTTTTCGAGGCTCGCGTGCTTCTCGTAATCACTGCATGTCAACTGCTCATCCGCGTGATGCTTCCGCATTATTTATGGATCTTTTCAACGCTTCTTTTTCACACGTTATTGGCTTCTAGGAGATCTCGAATGAAACTAATTAATAAAAAGACCTTCACTTATCCCTAATCAAATCTAGCGTCATCCCAAAAATTTTACATGTTAGTCACAGATATGTAAACTAGAAGTCGCATATCTACGCAGTCTAGTCACACAGTCTAGAGACACTGTTACACGGTCGGTTACTTCGGAAGAATCGGAAACAGTTATGACATAGCAGATGGAAAATGAAAATAAATTAAAGGAAGTGCGTCCATGCATATTTACAACGAAGCAAAACTGTCACAATCTACAATGCTCCTATCCACAAATATGACTGCGTTCATTGCCTTGGGTTTCACATACTCGTGATAAACAATTACGGGACGAAAAACAGACATATAACCTTCATACAACCCTGTAGAACTATGTGCAACCCCTATACCCTCCGATTCCGAGGGTCAATCTTCTATGTCCGTTCTGCCGCAGATATTCCGACTACACCACTACTCGCCTTGCATCCGATGACAGAGCAGTACTACCGATCAGCTGATTGCTGATAAACGAAAGCAAGCGCGTCCATGTCACATTTACTCTCCCTATCCCCAAATCTGTCTGTGCTCGTTGGTAGACTCACCCTTCACATCGAATCGGCATGCGCGACCGAAACAAGACAGGTCTATTCTACAAACCTATGTCACGATAAAAAACATTTTCAATTTTAACTACAATTAAAAGTACGCCAAGAATATTGTATGGAAGCTTTTTTTTTGACATGGTTCAAGTATCTATTATATAATTATATAATCCTTCCTATTATCTGGCGGTTCTTTTGGATCTGAGCATGATAAGATTACTATGAATACATCTTTCTGACTGTAGGGCTTTTACTTCTAAATATTTACTTTATACCTAAGATTTACTTTACACCCACCACTCTCCTTGCATCCTAGCAGTACTTTCCTCTGACATGGATCCAATTTATTCGAAAGATCTACCGATATCTCATGTATGGCAGACTGGTGTAGAGAATGGAAAATGAAAATCAATGAAAGCAAGTTACGTTTACACTCGTAAGTAAATCTCCTCTCACGATCTGAATCACAAATGTCTCCATATCAAAATCTGACTGCATTATCTTGGGATCCATCTAGACTCAAGCTAAAACGACAAGACCTGAAAAGACGGTCTATTCTAACACTTATAGGAACTTTATTTGGTTTTATGGTTTTATCATCATTTTGTGAACTCTCTGTGATTGTGGTTTTATTGTTTTATTATTTTCTTGTGACCAACCCGCTCGGATCGAAGTCTTTATGTACTCGCGTAAATCATTTCTCAGATTACCACTACTTTTTATCATATTTTCCAATAAATTGAGGGAATCTTGCAAAGCTGCATCCTCACTTGACGCGATCTTTTGAGCGAGTCTGTCTTGTACCTGTTAGTCTTGGTCTACAGTCCCAAGTATTTGACACAACCTGTCGCAGGAAGTAAAATTAGATTAAGATAAACGGGAATATTTATCTTTTAATGATTATTTTTAGTTTCCATTTAAGGAACCTAAGTTCTAAGGTGTCTTGAAAATATCGAACTTCTAGGGCATGATTGTATCGTCAGCAAAGAGGGTTGTAAGTGTCTTTGAGTGTTGTAAGTATGCATATATGATACAAAGTAACGGACCTAAGATTCTCCCTTGAGAAACACAAGTTAAATTACGTATTTAATAGTTGGGTTTAGGTTATAATAGTTTATATCTAGTGAAAAGAAGCGTAATGGAATAGTTAAATTTATTATTTGCTCCCTTCAATGCTTCCTTTGCTTTCATTTAATTCAAACGCATTTCACCATCTGTGAGAAATGTGTGACTGTGCGAAACTTTAAAAAAAATTATTAACCATTATTTTTTCTTCTGTTTTAGGTAAGAACTCTTTCCTCCAAGGGTGTATTATTTTATTTCATCCTGTTAAAAAGTAGTTTTGTAAGTATAATATTTTTTTGTCGTGATATATTTTGTGTGATGTTATGGTGTGCTTATGGCAGTTGTGTGATATTACCGATGTTTTGTTCTCAAATCTCCCGGGCCGGTTTATTTTTGCCAGCGTCCGTCAGATCCTTCTGCGGACCGGATGGATTTCCCCCTGGTCAACTCGTCCCATCTTCGTAATGTGGGCGGGTAAATTATATTTGGTCGCCACCTGTCAAGCAGGTTTTCGTCAGTGAGTCAAACGGCATTGAAATGAAACGGATCTAACTCGAGCCGAGTGACTGATCCCTCGTTTTCTGCGAAATATGAACTAGCTGCTTAAATTAACTCAAAAACTAGGTGGGCGTGGTACGCCTATTTTGAGCACAAAAATATGGCACGTGGCACACTCACTTGCTTATTCATACATAAAAAAAGTTTAATCGGGAATAGTTGAACTGTAGTCACCTTGCATAATTTCTTTTTCAGCATTGTTTTTGTTGGAATTTAAGAGAATTTCAAGTGGTGTAAATTGT